CTTTTATCTACCAACTAACTACCAACGTAATTTCTTATTCGATAATCGGCGAGCAGAAAAAAACGAGCAGCAAAATCGAGAATGCGTTGGAAGTCAAAACTGGTCCCTGTTGAATCGAATCAAGATTCGAAGAATAAAAGGAGAAGATGCAAAAAGAGGAAAGAGGAAGCAGGATTTTAAGGAATTAAAACGAGAAGTGGAATAAAAAAAAAGGGAATCATTTTAGCATTTGAGACAGTGCAACTGTTCGATGGAGGTGGGTGCGGGTAAAAGAAGTGGGGAAGAAAGAACGTGGCAGACGTTTATTACCGGGCCACTGTTAGGTCTTCGGATGGCATTTTCAGCGAGGAGAAGAATAAAGGGAGAAAGGAAAGGGAGATCTGTGAGACGACGAGAGAGGGAAAGAGAAAGAGAGAAAGAGAGAGAAACATAGAGAGCGAGGTATATATCATAGAGGTGTATATACACTCTTCTCGAAGCGACGAAGGAGAAGAGAAGGAGGGTTCTCTATAAGGAGGTGGAAGAGGAACAACACGTGACCAATCACTTATATAAAGGTGGAGAACGACAGGGCGCAAACACAGAATTCTCTCTCTGCTCTCGGTGGACACTGTGCGCTCGCAAAAGTGATAACAATTTTTTTCTCCTTTCTCCTCCCCCCCTCACCCTTCCTTCGACAAATAATCGACGAATTTTTACGCGTCACGAGGAAAGGATCCTGTGGTAAAAAGAAAATATCAGATCGACGACGTACCACGCGGGACATACAATACACACGCACGCAATCGTAACAATGAGGACGTACTACGTGATAGCCGCCATTCTGATCGCCGGTACGTACCCATCACGAAATAAACAATCACGAGGAAGCAAGAGGGTGGAAAGAATAGGGAGAAAGAATAAGGGGGGAAAGGAAGTAATTATTGAGCGTATTTATCACGTGGAGGAAGAAAGTTGGGGGAGGAAAGTGTTGCTCGAGAACGATCGGAAGTGGAGGAAACAAGTGCGTGACATATGCGTGTGGAAAGAGAGTGCCCTCTTCCTTTGTCGCCGATTCTCAGCGATGGAATTATTCGTTTAACGTAGTTTTCGCTTTTCCATAATTCTTCCAACGTTGTACACGGTTTCTTTCGATATAATCCAGATTTCGATTCGATCGAATCGAAAAATGTATATTGTACGTGTGTTTCATATCGGAATAGTATCGATACCTTGAAAAGTGACTTGTTCCAACTCTCGTACGACTGGAGTGCTATATTCGCGATACATAATATCGTAATATCCGCGGCATTTGAAGGAAAGCAGGTCAACTTACGATGCGTTCAATGATCGGGGAAAAAGAGCTATTTATATTTGTAATCTTATAAGCAACGAAATATCTAAACTTCTCCATTTGATTTCTCTCTATCCATCTTCTCGAGCCTCGCGTGAATTCGAACATTTGCTAGCGTACAAATCAACTATGGAAAACACGCGTGATTGGAAATGATCGATCTATCGAAAAATAAATAATCGGCTTTCTCGAAACGAATGTAGTATATTATGTTTCCTCCATTCCTTTTTCCCTCTCTTCCCCTCACTGTAACGGGATAACCTTGGCCCAGATCTTGACCCTTCCTTTTTCATCCATCGACCAATCCACATCCAAAATCCTCTCTCTTTCTCTTTCTCTCTCTCTCTCTCCTCTCTCTCTCTCTCTCT